GTCATGTGATGACTGTTCAACAGTACATGTTCAACTATTGTAGATCAGTGGTGCCAGATGTCACCCTTCAGAGTAAGACTTTAACACATCTTCTAGCCTGCATGACGTTCTGCATAGCCTCTTCTGAATGAACTGTCTACACTGTTACACAATTTGGCATGAAGCGTGTCTTAGCTCCATTAAGTAATGATGGTGTATAGAAAGCTGGTTCAAATAGCTCTTTATATTGATTACAGGTAATATGTATAGTCTACTTACACATACATAGTCTGATCTGCTGGGTTTTGTGGCATCTCATAGCTGTTTCACTAACTATTTATGTTACTGTCAAACCCTTTGAAATCAATGGTCTCCTTGTGACACAGTAACAGTTTAGTCCTCAACGAGAAGTGAATTAATTTTATAAGAACACCTCCAGGTTATTACTGAGCCTGGAAGAGAATAATTTGCAAGACTTCAAATATTTTTGTTTAACTCTTGAATAAAACTAAGATATTTCAAACTTTTTTTCTGCATAATAATGGTGCTATGCCATAGAATGGTGGATAACATGACATTAATGGTGGCATCTCTATAGGATTCAGAATAAAATACCTCTTCTGCCAAAACTGGACTAGGGCTTTGAACTCAAATCTTCTCAGCTACCATGACTGACCTGATTACTTACCTATTGTTATGTGGTTGCTGCATTATAACAACAGATACCTAGACTAAAAAAAAATAAAAATATTTGCCAGCTATGTTTCAATTTAAAATGTATATGTTTCACTGAATCCATATTTGACAAGGAAAATAAGTATTTGAAGAAAATATTTCCAAACACCAGTTAATAAGTGGCATACTTTTATCACTTTATACTGTTTGAGAGGTAAGCTTTCCATATGAACTCTATTTTAGTGTTACTGAAATACGTGTTTTTCATATATCACTTCCCTTAGAAAAAGTAATAACCTTTGAAACCTTTTGAAAATAACCTTCTGAAAAGTAATAAATGCAGAGGAGACTTCTATTTACAGAAAATTTCTCAATGATTAATCTATGTATCACTAACGTCCATAGATGCCTCAGCTTTGTCATTCTAGCACTTTTCCCAATTATAGGTAATTAAATACTAGTTTGTTTTTTTTCCCCTCTCTGCAATCTGTTTTCTCAGATATTACTCATTGGAGACTATGTTCAGGACACTTCCCAACTGCTTCAGTCTTGAAACATCATTAGTTGTATATTCTAGTGTTGATGCCTAGCAATAAGGATATTGTCAGTGACACATGTATTGCAGGCATTTATTTATAAGTAAATAAGCACCAGACTAAGCTACATTCAGTGGCATTATAATGTGATTAAAGGCTCGCTCTAAGAAATAGTCAGGATATGCTCTGCTAGTTTGACTTTCTAATCCTTTAAGAAAGGATTAACATTAAAAATAGTCTCATTGTTTCTCCACTCCTTCATTCAAGGCACAAATAATATTTGAAGATTAGAAAGCTTACTTTATCTTCTGCCGTTGATGTTGCACAAATTAATGTAGTCTTTTCACATAATGATTTTATGATTGTGGTGCATTTTATATATGGTCTTATTTACTGCTGCTATCTGTACTTATATCATAAATTCATCTGGCTTTCTGGTTTTTTGCTGTTAGATGTGGGTCTTTCTTGCTCTCTGATCCATACAATAAAATTGACTGAATCTTTGCTGTCCCTTTATTCAGTCTAATCTGTTTTTGTTATCTTAGCTAGATCACTTTGAATCCTTTCCATCCACAGTTATATACACTCCACAGAAGTTTTATTGTCATTAATAAAATAAGTAACTAATTTACCTTCACAGAAAACAAAGATAGTATCAGAAATATTATTTGCAATAAAAAAATTTACACACTGAGATTATTTTAATCTTAGTACATTTTACGTTTTGTTACTAGTTATTATTTTATTCAATGAAAAATGATAGTTTATATCTCAAATATCTTAAATGCTTTGCCAATTAGACAAATTAGTTAATTTATTAATTAATACTTTGTCAATTATTTCTCCAAAACTTTGGGAATAAACTAATCTAAAATTGATTTTCAGTTTAATAAGGAGACTTTAATTTTAAAAATGAGTAAAGTTTGGGAGTAAAAATTATATAATTGAGCATCTGTACTGCCAAGGCAGAAATTTAAAACCTCTGTCTAAAATTCACAGGATAGAATGGTAGTTCCAAGGGACATTACTTCAAAGACTATCCCTTGTTTTAATAGAAACAAGAAATAAAACTTTGGGCTTGTTCTTGAGCATCTGTGATGACGAAACTAATGCACTATTCCTTCACATAAGCAGGGACAGTTTAAGGTTTACAAATTCATAGACTTTATTCCATGGGCACTTAGTCTAATTTAAAATAGCAAGATCAGAACCTACCTTGGAAAAGGAAAATTTGTTCTGTCATATTCACTGTAGAGCTGGGCTCAGTGCCCAAAGTTCTTGATGATGATAAGAGGGTTTTTTTAATCTAAAAGTTTTGTTGAGAAAAAATTTATATTCCTGTCATCAACCTTTAATACAGTTTTTTAAAATATTGATTTTGTATTTGCAAATACATTCTGTTCATATAGTATTTAGTACACTCTTGAGTAAAAAAATATTAATACTTAGTACAAATTCCAAGTACTTTTAGAGCATTCTTATGGGAAACAGACTGACTTAAAATGTACTTTAATTTGAAACTATGACTTCTATACAGTACTACTCTGGAAACACCATGTGAAGTAAAGATTCAGAACAGGACTAGCTTTCTGCATATGATTAGAGAGACCAAAATTATCTTTCCCTTGGCACATCTGCAAAAGACAGCACTTAAAAAATAAACTCTCTCTGCAGGCTGTTGAAATTAAGCACAGTGATCTCATACAAAGCACAGCGCAGCTGGTACCAAGGGAAGGAGACAGTTGAATATTTTCTAATAGAAAAACTGAAGTCACACCAAGCCTGCATCCTTTCTTTCAAAAAATATAATTATGTAAAGTACAAAGCTCCATTATAGACAATGTTTATAGTTTGCAACTGTTTTTCTCTTAATTTTAAATAAAGCTTGTTAACAGTTGATATCAAGCCAACATATTTCCTACAGATGCCACAAACAATGAACAATCAAAAATCTGTTTCTGTTGTTTCTTTTGTAATTATTCCAAATTGTGGGAACCCATAATAAAAAACAATGTAATGAATGAACACCATTGCATGTTGATAAACATCATAGTCTTTCAATTTCAAGAAAAAAACCTATGGCATACTGACTGGTAGAAAAATGAATGACTTTCTCTACAGTGATACAAAACACTCTATTTTATGAATTTTCAAGTTTAGATCATTTGATGGCATAGAATGTTTTCCAGTTGATTTATCTAACATGTCTAAGGAGTTTATGAATGTCTGCTTTATCATTAGAAAATGTTACATATAATTAAAATACAAACAGTGTTGCTATAATTCAGACAATGAATTGCTGTATTCAGCAGAATAATGGAAAAATGCTTATTTCTGCTATTCTGTGGCTTTTAAAATTTGGAGGCATGTAGACTGTGATTCTGCAATGGACTCTACTAAGGCAGTCTCCTGCATAAATTAAGCTTTTATCAGTCTCTTTGTATTATTGCATGAGCCTGGAGCTCTCTACTACTCTGTCTGATAGTAAAGTTAAAGCAAATTTATTAAAACCAGAAGGAATAAAATAGTTCCTAAAAGTCAGGAAGAAATAATAAATTTACTGTTTTAAGAGCGTTTGCTCCTGTTTAGATAAGGCTGAAAGAGATGACTTATATGGAATCTGCTTTTTGGTTTCTCATACATGTTTGTCTAAAGAAAAGAAACAAACTTTAAAACAATGTAAGAACTTGAATGATTCATTTAATCTTTGAGATGCAGCTAGGGCATGACAAGTCTGTTACTTTTCTTAGTTTGGTGTGGACATAAATTTTCCTTTTTTCCTTTGGATTAAAAATAAAAGGAAGTCTGGCAAACTACGATTGTGATGTAAAATGTTAAACCTTCTTCCATGTCTATAGGTCCCTTGAAATTTGTTGTCACTTACAGCACTGATGATGCAGCATCCTTCTTAATGCAAATATCACATCAGAAAGAAGGGGAAAATGGACACCTTTTCATCAACACAAGACTTTGTAAGTCACAGTGATTTTTGGTTTGGAGGTATTGTGGGTTAACCCTGGTAGGCAGCTAAGCACCACATAGTTGCTCTCTGACACACTCCCCAGTGGGATGAGGAAGAGAATCAGAAGAGTAAAACTTAAAAAACACATGGGTTGAGATAAAGACAGTTTAATAGGGAAAGCAAAAGCTATGCACACAAGCAAAGCAAAGTAATAAATTAATTCAATATTTCCATTCAGCAGGCAGTTGTTCAGCCATCTCCAAGAAAACAGGACTCTATCATGCATGATGACATAATTCCAAATGTTATGGTTTAAGGGTTAACAGCGTAAAAGGGAAGGACAGGTGGTATCTGTAGGACCCTAGGGGGGGTTCAAGATCAGTACTGTTCCCTCTCCTTTCTGGCCACAGTCTATAAAAAAATGAAGAGGTCCAAGGTTTTTGCAGGCTTTTCCTGGCTTCCTGGGCTTCCTGTTGTATCTCAGGGACGGCTGGGCCTAGCTCCACATGCTCGGCAGCATCCACCACAACCTGCTCCCTGGCACCACTGCGATCCCTGGTGCCAAGTCACAGCAGGTGCAGCAGCCACTAGGCACTGGTCAGACTCTTCCACTCGGGACTACTGGGATCGGGTTTTGTATATAGTTAAATATTTTTTGTCCCTTATTAATTCCCTTTTCCTTTCCCCTGTTGTTCTTCAATAAACTTGTGGCAGTCTTAAATTCCAACTTTGTGCAAAGCATCTTTTTCTCTATTCACTTTATTTTTTAATCCTCCCCTGGGAGGGTAGGGTACAACAGAGAGAAAATCCTGCTCTCTCCGACTCTTAAACGGAGACAGCATAATTGGCGCCCAACATGGGACACGAACCCATGACCTTGAGATTAGGAGTCTCATGCTCTACCGACTGAGCAGGCCAGGCACACAGGAAATGTGGTCCAGTTGGCCCCAGTCACCACCCACCAGAAGTGCTCCAAGAAAACAGACTGCCTGGTGAGGGACAAGAACATAGACAAAGAAGCAGGAGAGGGACCATCTAAAGGAGAATCACAGCCAGAGGTCAAAATCCTTTCCCTGAAAGAACTACGAATTTTATGAAAAGACTATGCCCGGGGGGATGGTGAATCATTGATGACATGGCTGTTGCGGTGTTAGGACACTGAGGCAGATACAATAGATCTGGATGGGGGACAGGCTAAGTGATTGGGAGATTTAGCAAAAGAGCAGGGCATTGATAGGTTTATTTGGAATGATATCTGCACTTGAAATCTGTGGGAAGGTCTCATAACAGCTCTAAAGAGAAGATATCCTCGTAAAGAGGATACAGAATGTAGTTTTACTAAATGGAACACTATAGAGCAGTGCGTCAGATATTTCAGAGATGTGGCTCTCCGACAGGTAATCTATGATGAGCAAACACTTGCAGATCCTGACCAAGTACCATGCCAAGGTTCTCTGTTGAAGAAGTTTATACAGAGTCCCCCTCCTAAGTATTCCAACATTTTGGTAGGAAGGCTTTTTGGGGCAGAAGATGAAACACTGCCAACTGTGGGTGAGTTTGCTACTCAGCTCAGGCAATTTGAAGACACTGTTGTTCACAGCATACACTTCCGCATTGCAGCCATGGAAAAGACACTAGAGGACATCCAAACCAACATCAAAACTGACAAGGCTGACATAAAAACCCAGTTAGACAACCTGAATGATAAGTTGCTCCCAAGAGAGGGAGAAAGTGATATTCATTCTTCTGAATGGATCCACATTTCAGCAA